TCAGATTGATGCTATAAAGAGATAAATTACCACATAGAATATATATAAATGTATGTTTGAATTCGTATTTTATTGAATGTACTATGTTATCAATTTTTAAAAAATAAACTTTACATTAAAAAAACACAATTTCATAATTTTTTTTTGTTTTAGAACCCCTCTATATTTACTACCTATAATCAAAAAAACAACAACAAAATAAGTTGGGGTTCTAATGTTAATTCCAATATAATTAATATTATAAATTCATATATTACCCCAACATATTTACTACCTATAATCATGCTCTTAGTCCCCCATAAAGAGATAAGTAAGATATATGGGTCATTTTTTTTTGGTAGAATACATGGGTCACTCCTTATGGGGGATTGGATCGTACTCGCTCCTTGTCTCTACTATACAGATCCGATCGAGATCTGGTCCGTTCATTATATCTTATATCTAGGCGTTTAAAGTCTCGTTTGTTGACATCGCCGCATCTGGGAGAAAAGTTTTTGTTAAACTTGTTCGTCTTGCTGGATTATGAAGATTATGAAATCTGGATTTGGGAGGTATATCTTTATCATTATAGGAGGTCTCTGATTGATTTCTCTTGGTTTTTGGTCTTGTGATTTAGTTTCAATTTTATCTATTGTCGGCTTTTAAGTTTCCGTTCATGTAATATGCTCCCCATGTTTGGGTTCCGCTTTGAAATTTCGCTTTGTAATCTCAGTTAACGTTAGTATCAAAAAAAATCTTTCAGACGGCAAAAAAAAAAATACATGGGTCACTTTGACGAGAACTCTTTTTCCAGGAGCAAATACATTTTCACATAGTTGTCGACCTTAAAAAAATTATTAATTGATTTACTTTGGATCACTTGGGTAAAGAACATCTTTGACCGATCTGCGAGCATATGATCTTGTAGTTGTTAGTACATCGCTTGAATGAAATGAGATCATTTGCGCCTAGCGATATTGGGTATTATCGCAATCAAGGTCCATTGACTTGTCGGAGAAGTTAGTCTCGTCCGAGGTGAGAAGAAAAACATATTGATAGTCGTTGTAGTGGTTTCACCAGTTTCTGCCCAAGTGGTAAACAAAAATCAAAGTTTATTCTTTCATGTATGTCCTTTATATATCAGATTGCATTGAATCGTATTACTCGTTTTATCAACACTTTTATATCGTTCTAAACTTTTAGTCAAGTTAAACAAATCCAATTTTAGAAATCCAGCTAAATATACTAAATTTAAAATCGTTGTTTAGTATGATTTTGAATCAAGTTTATTGAACAAATTTTTTTGTTTGAATTAGGCCTTATAGTCATCGAACTTTTTCATGTATATAATTTCTTCATGTATCTAGTAACTAGTTTTGGAATGGGTGATGTAATATAAGTTTCAGGTCTAGTCCATAATCTCTTCGAGCCAAAAATTATAAAGTGTTCAATTTGTTAGTTCAGTTTCTGAGTTTTTCAGTCTTTTGTTTCAATTTGTATGAAATCTCAACCGTCTCGATTTAATAAATTTTGCTGAACATGGATTCTAGAAGTGAAATATCTATCATGTTTTTTTGACAACACAAAGAATCAAAACTCAAATATAACCTACTAGAATATAACAAAAGATATTGTTTTATATAAAACTATATAAACACTCACAATTACAACCCTAAAAGCTACATTTTAAATTCAGACCAGACCATTGATTCTTCTATATATGTCTCGTGTTGATCTTATAAAATCTTCTTCACACATATATTATTATGTTTCTTAATTAGTCGTATTACATAGCATTTACGAGTAAAACTTGTATCCCTTCGATTGAATAACGATTGTCCTTAGCCCTCCAATTGGCGATAGAACCATTAAGCAAATACCAAACACGATACATACCTGAAATACAAAACAAACCAAATTTAAATTAAATCGAAAACAGTTTAACAAAATGCAACCACCTATTGCAAACGCTAGAAAAAATAAATAATAATAATGTTACTTACCCAATTGGCCCACCAAGATAAGCCGAATTTCTTTGGTTTGTAAATGGCTAGCCAAATTATGCAAGGAAGCTGAAAAAAATAAGCATTTTTGAATTAGACAAATTTCAATTCATTTGAAGTTTAGAAATCGCGGTCTTACGAAATATGTTGTTGGGGCAAATGCGAATCCACCGAAGAACGCCAAAAGCCCACCGAAGAACGGAAAGGTCATACCAACAAACATCGTTGCGGCTACAGAAAACAAATTCCCAAAATCAGATCTATGGATCAAGTAACACTTTAATTTAAAAGTTTCTTAAAATGTAAATAAACTTAGATAGTTATGAATTTAATAAATACGAATTTTCAATAAATTTTCTTACCAACGTAGAAATTGCGGACACAGAACCGAAGGATCGTGGTCGGTCTGAAATTTAGCTTCTTAACCAATAACGTCTCCATCATATCGAAAACCGGCATCGCGTATATCTGCATCAAAACCAAGATTTGGTATGTTATTTTATACCAAAAGATAGGCATGTACATTTCAAATTGAATAGAATTGGCTACGGATGAGATTATATAGTTTTAGTTAAGTTTTAAACTTTTAATTAACCCAACTGATAAGTATCCTAAGAAACTATTCAACTCGTATCCTTATCCGACTCAAAATGCATATACCTACCAAAAGAAGAAAGTATAAAATTACCGGTTAAGAGAAAGTGAAAAACTAACCTGGTAGCTACCAATGACATGGATCACGACGAAGATATTAGCCGTGGCGATTAACCAAGCCGGTTTCTTGAGTGACATGAGAATGTTATCCTCAACATCATTCCCAAAGATATAATATCCGACAAGACCAACCGGAAAGTAACAAAGCGCGACTACGATGTAAGCAACGATGACTCCTCTCCACATCGGACCTTTCGAAGGTTTCTCTGGAGTCGAAGGGATCGTTGCTTGGATCTCAAGAACCACGTTGTGACCAGCATAAGCAAACGCAACGTCACCTAAACCGCTGAAGAAATTGAAAACCGTACCGGCCGTTGATTTTGCTTTATAACCGTATTGAACATCTTCTTGAACACCTTTGCTCACCGAAGCTCCCCATGCGATTGTTGAGTAGCTATAGAATCACAAGGAAATAAATTTAGAACCGGTTAACAGAGTTGTTTTAATAAACCGGTTAACAGATTGGTTACATCAAACCAATTTCTCAAATTCTACCGATTTTTTATATCGGTTTATACTTAACCAGCACATCAACCAAATTAAAAGAACCGGTTTAAAGTATAATTTACCTGAGAGACATAACGGCGGCGGCGAGAGAAACGCCGGAGATGGAATTGAAATTGGGAAGATGAGAGAGAACGAAGTGAACAGAGGCAAAGATCATGATGAAATAAGTAAGTTTGATCGGTTTGCAATCCTCACAAACAAGCTCATGAAATTTCTTTAAAGATTTGCCTCCAGTAACCATATAAACAATGCAAACGCCAATCTCCACGATCAGCTGTTGCGGCACAACTATATAAAGACCGAGCTTTTCTCCAAACGCGTGTTGTCCGAGCTCGTGGTAACGGTCGAAACGCTTTCCCGGAACCATTTCATGCATTTCCACCATTTGCCATAAGGTGTATAATGTTATGATCCATGACAAAACCAATACTGCAACTCCGGGTCCCCTGCAAAAAAACAAAAATTGAAAACCGGTTAAAGTTTTGATATATTCAGTTTAAGGTTAATAACCGGTTAAATAGACCCGGTTTAGGGTTAATAACCGGTTTGAATTGGAAATTTTACCAGCCGAGTTGAGACATGGCGTAAGGGAGGCCAAGAACTCCGGCACCGACCATGGCGGTGACATTGTGGAAAGCAGAGTACCACCATTTTGCATTTCTTGATGAAGTAATTGGTAACCAATCATCGATTTGTTTCTGTCTTGCTAATTCTTTATCATCCTGTATATTCCAATTGGACGAAAAGTCAGTGATTTTGATCAAATCATAATTCTTGAGCTGAGAAATTAGATATCATAACTTATTGGGCATAAAGAAAAATAAACTAAAAGTACAAGGGTGGATTTTTAAAGATCTCTTGGTCTAAATTGGTTTAGGTTGGTAGACCAAATTTAGAGATAAGATTTTTTATTTTTGTCATTAGAGATAAGATCTAAAAGTCTAAACTACGCACAAAAAAAGAAAAGAACAAGTTGGTTCTGCTTATTCCACAAAATCGATGGAAGCAAAAGTCAGCAATTTTGTGTCGGTTGCTCAATTCATGATTTTTTGGACTGAAAAGTTACATATAATAACTTTTGGGGGTAAAATGAGAACTAAAGTAAAAGTATAATAGTGGATTCAGGAATATCTATTGGCCGTAGAAGTGTTCCCTAAACTCTGGAAAAGTCAGAAGCTGACCCATACCTTAAAAATCTAAACTTCGGGCAAAAAGTTGATTATTTTGGGTCTATAGAGTTAGATAGAATAAGTTCTGGGCCAAAGAAAAAATAAAGTAAAAGCATAAGGGTATATTTTGAAAGATATGTTGGCCTTTTGTGACGGAGGTTTAGGTTGGTAGAGAAGTAGAAGTTCCCTAAACTTTGGAAAAGTCAGAAACTGACTCGTACGGTACCTAAAAGTTGAGATCTAAACTTACGAACAAAAGGTAAATAACAAACAAGTCGTTTTTTTGTTTGTCCTTTTAACTTGTAATAATTCAATGACATAATTTGAAGAAAAAGAAAAACACAATGGAACCATGGAATTATATTCTTATACCTCGGAAATATTTTTAAAAGAAAAATCTATAGGTCAGCAAGTCAATATCTTATCTTTACTTAAACTAGTCTTGTCTTTGAGTTCTTAAATTTTCTCTCCATCAACCTCTAAGCACCACCATTTATGTGTTTTCATACTTTTTTTTTCTACAAAATCTAAAGGACTAAAAGAAAGGTCAGTCTTTGAGGGGAAAAAAAAAGCTGACAAAGAAATCTCTGAAAGAAGAAAAAGAGATCATAAGAAATTCAGTGGGTGTTCTTCAAAAAAAAAATCAGTGGGCGAGGCGAAAAACAACTGAAGTAACATTGGTTATCATTTGTAAGGGTTTAATGGTCATCATCTGAAAAAATAAAGATACAATTTGCATCTTTAGTTTTCTCATAAGAAAATAACTCAAATCTAGTCCATTTTGGTTCAACCAAAATTTAACAAAATTCAAGATCTTAATCACAATGAGGCAGTAACACAAAGAGAAGGACAGAGAGAGAGAGACTAACATGTTCATCGTGAGGGGCTTGAGATACCATTGTGTTACTCAGATAATTTAGGGAGAGAGAAAGAAAGAGGAGAGAAGAAGAGCTTAACAAGTTCTCACACAATTTAAGAGAGAGATATTATGCTAAATATATAGATCTCCTCATGATGAC